CGTAAGTCAAATCATTATGTTGTACACCTTAAACTTACACAGAGCTCTATGTCAATTATATCTCAATAAAAGTGGAAAAAACAGAAAATCAAACAAAACAAACAAAATAAAACCACCTTGAGAACCATTTTCCCAGGGTTGGCTAAGGGCCAAGCACGGTTTCCTGGGAGACTCTCAAGGAGTAAGCAACTAAATCTATTGTATTGTCTCTTTACAGTCCACTCGCTCTCTTTCAATCAAGGTCTTTTTAACAATGAAACAGTCATATTTGGGCTTTTACAGATAGTACAGCATTTATATATAAGGTAAGCAAGAGCAACATAACCATATCTAATACCTGCAGAAGCCAAATGAAGGATGAAAATAGGCTCAAATAAGTTATTCTTCTAGTCAATAGACCATTTAAGACATCTTTATATTGATGTAACAATTATCTGTTTACTCCCTTGATCTATGGCCACTTGAACTTTGTGATAAACTTGTACAGAGCTATTTAAAGTAATGAACTACATTTAATTCTTCCTCAGGCTAGTCACTCTCCATTGACATCACATGCTGGGAGGTTTTAGTTCAGTTTCCCAATACATTCGATTATCATAAAATTTGTTTATATAAGGCAGCTGAATCTTACCAACAATACCAGTATTACACCATCACAAAATAGTTATGATACAGTTTCATTTGGTTACAAAAGAAATTGGGAAGTATCACAGAAGTGTTTATTAAATCTTCCTAGAATAATTGTTGTTTGCCCACATATCAGATATCATGGACAAGTGTTATCACCAGTGGTGATGATTCTGTCATTTCTAGATTCCATGTTAGCTGAGGACAAAGCCCATCATTTGTCTCAAGTCACACTATTATACAGTTTTCCCACTGACTATTGTGCAGCAAGCCCATCTCCCTTCCATGGGGAAAACATGTGTATCATTCAGCATTATTCCTCTACCTCATCTCATCAGTCCATCCTTTGGTAAAGGTCAGTCAGTGATCAGTAATGTAAGTTACAATTTCACCCAGAAAACTTCCATAAGTTTGAGGAGCTGCATGTGTCTCAAAGATGCTCTTGCAACTTCCATAAGTGAAAATGGAAAGCCATTATCCCATGACTACTTGGATCTCCATTCAAAGTAAAATAGTTAACAGACCCTGTTGTGTCTGAGTATATGCTCTTTCCCAAGTGCTGAATGCTAGCATTCTCTAGCATTATTATTGGCTCTGTGTGACCATATTACCAAGTCTTTATCATCTTTCCAAGTAGATTCCCATTCTTTTCTTTGCTCTTGGAAAATGATTCCCACTAATCTGTCTATGTAAGAGTAATTTCTTTTCTTCTGAAAGACACTTTTCACTAAAAGTGAATTCAGCTTGTTCCATTAGACCAAGGCCAGCTTCTATTTCACCTAGAGCCCTCTTTGGTTTCACTGGCTGATGTTTAACCCAACATGTATCTTGTTTCCTTTGAGTATTGATTGCTTGAATAAGGTTAAGGTATATGCACTGTATACCCAAAATGCAGGTGTCCCATGTCAGTCATGTGTATAGTTATAGTGGTCACTCCCAAATTCAGTTTAGTCTGAGCATGCCATAAGGTTTTCCACAATCTTTCTTGTCTTAGGTTATGGTGGTCCCCAGTGAAAACATGAATCCACCTGCTGCTGCTGCTAAGTCACTTCAGTCATGTCCGACTCTGTGCGATCCCATAGAGGGCAACCCATCAGGCTCCTCTGTCCCTGGGATTCTCCAGGCGGGAACACTGCAGTGGGTTGCCATTTCCTTCTCCAGTGCATGAAAGTGAAAAGTGAAAGTGAAGTCACTCAGTCATGTCTGACTCTTAGTGACCCCATGGACTGCAGCCTACCAGGCTCCTCCATCCATGGGATTTTCCAGGCAAGAGTACTGGAGTGGATTGCCATTGCCTTCTCCCTGAATCCACCATATAATGCCTAATATGTTATTTTCATTCACAACCCATTGATACTTTTCATCTTGTTTAAAAGCTTTCCATCCACAAAACCATGGATAATGTGTGTTCTTACACAGCATACTATGGCTTGTCAGGCATGCAACCACTACATGCTGTCCATTATACTTTGGCATTTTGGTCATCAAATTTATGGTCATACATTTATCGGTTTGCCTGACATTATCTGCTATGTGTCAAAATGGTTCAGAGGGAAGACATACACAAATAATTTAATCAATTCCTAATGTTCTAATGAAGGTAAATTTTTATAGCTCAGTTTCAGCACCATTTCGACCAGTGAAGTGGAGATAATGCAGTCAAATATTTAGTGATAGTTATAACTATCATATGCATCAAGCTCTACATTTTAAAAATGAATAGGAAGTTATGAAAATTAAATAACATATAAATGACATTTCAGCACTCTCAAGTATATATAAGCAAAAGGGATTATCAGTCTCATATATTTAATCTTTTAGTCACCAAAGAATAAACAGATATAGCCCATTAAATAGTGAAAGATGCCCTCTCAAAGCCTTCTCTAAAAGTTGAGAAGTTTTAATGCTATTCTTAACTATTTGTACAGAAGTTAACTTTTTTAAGAAATAAAACTATGAAAGTTACTTAAACAAGTGATGAGATCAGAGTTAAATATCAATGTAGCTTGTGCAACACCAGGTAGTTCTTTATGAACTATATTATTTGCTTATGGGGTTTAATGCCATGTTAATAGACTTCATATAGCACTTGGAGAACAGAAATATATACCTCACCATGAACATCCAGAAACCAAACACTCTTCTCATTGTAACTATAACCTTTGAATAGTTCATTATACTGGATACCAATTTCTTTCCAATCTCAGAGATAAAAACCAGCACAATATACAAATGTCAAATATTAACACAGTGTGAGACTACTGAATCATCTGGCACAGGAATTTTAAATATCCTTTTGACCACAACTAGTAACAGGCTGAACCTGCCACCAATGTGATAAGCTGCTTCTTTAAAGAGAAGTACAGAAGTCAATTAACTTTAAACATTAAGATAATCATCACTCCTTACCATATGCTGGTGTCTAAATCTTTACAAAGGTTTTACAATAAGATATTAATTTTTCATCTATTCCTAAGCTTATTTTCTTGCCATCTAGAAATCCTCACTGCTCCCCCACTCTCAAATAAATTGGGTTCATCTTTGCTTATTGAAGAAAAAGTGCATGAAATGGTCAGAATCTGTCTTTGGAGAAACTTTTAAGTACATATATAATCTTGCCCCCCACTATGTGATCAGCTGAAAGCCTTAAATCCCTAGTGAACATTCTGGAGACGTGGCACACAGCTTTGCTGTTGTGTTTAGAATTCCTGAGAGAGACAGGAGGTTAAGGAATGATTGTGACATGAATCAGCCATGGATTTACATGTATTCCCCATCCCGATCCCCCCTCCCACCTCCCTCCCCACCCCATCCTTCTGGCTGATTCATGTCAATGTATGGCAAAAACCACTACAATATTGTAAAAAATTAATTAATTAATTAATTAAAATAAAAAAAAAAGAAATGATTGTGGTGTGGATCAGAGTGGAAGCAAAGGAAATGCTAAGAAGTAATCAGATCCTGGATACACAATGAAGGTAGAAACAAAGGACTTACTGACAGAGGTTATACAGGAAGTGAGAGAAAGAGAAGAATAAAGAATTAACTCCAAGTTTTCTGGCCTGGGGTCAAAAGAAGTTCTTTTGAAAATGGAAGCAATTACTAGTATGTATCCGTGTCTACAGTAACAGAAGACAAAGCAGAGGACAGCGGGTATAGACACAGAAGTAGAAATGTGGTAGAAGCTTGTGGAAGTACTCTTGATTACTTCAATTTTCTTAGTGGAATAAGACCCAAAATACAAGTTGAGAGTAAAAACTGGAGGTAAGTACTAGAGATCTGAAGAGAAAGGAATGTGTACCTATGAAAGGAGAAGAAATGGCTAAGAAAAGATGGTATGATTGTTGGGCAGCATTAAGCAAACTCACTCTGAGTTTGTGGTCACAAATTTAAAGTGAGATTAGCCAGTTGTAGAGATTCTAATGTTTTTCTGCTACTTCAGCTAAGCAAAGAACAGGCACAGAATACGTGGGAAGTAGGATGTAATCAGGATTGGGTTTTGACAGCAAGTATAACAAAGAGAGAGAAGGACCAAGGAAACTGAAGATACATGCATGGGAATGGCTATGGAAGTTAAGCTGAGTAAGGAAGAGAAGTGAGTATATCAGAGGGATGAGGGGCAGTTTAAAGGTAGTAGGATCAACATTAGACAAACAGGTACTTCCCTGTTCAAAGATACTTCAGTATTTTTGCTCTATTATTTCTACACTCTGTACTTGTTTATACACCAGTTGTTAATATATGGGAGAAATTATGACTCTGTCACTTTGTTTAGAATTGAGTACTATATTATGCACAATTAGATCTTTAAATTTGCCTACTCATAATATTCAGCCTAGTCTCTCTTCCCAGCCCTGCCCCCAAATGCAAATGAACACATACATACACACATAGGAGAAGGAAATGGCAACCCACTCCAGTATTCTTGCCTGGAGAATTCCATGGATAGATAGAGGAGCTTGGCAGGCTGCAATCCATGGGGTCGTAAGAGTGGGACACGACTTAGTGACTAAACCACCATCTTGTACTTTCTAGTTTCTAAATTTTCTATATTGCATATGAAATGCTTTTGTCATTTAGAAAAATGTGCAAAAGAACATATGTATTTATACCCATATATACTTAAGTGCTTGCTGTGCTCTCCAATAAAGTATTAGAAGATTTAACCTAGTTGGATTAAGGCCTTAGACCAGTTTCAGAAAATAAGAGATCTGAGAGTACAGAAGCGGACGTACTTTTAAAAACTACCAGTTGTCACAAAATGCACGCATGGATCATTGTCCAGCAAGGGAAGCATATTAAAATGCATGACACTGAATCTACAATTAAAACAGTAAAATATTTTTAAATTGGAAGAAAGGATCATTACAAACCTGCTTTCTGCTTTGAGCTCTTGCATTCCGTAATCTTCGAGCAGAATAAAAGATAAAATAGCCCACAGTTGCCGCCGTAATAATGAAAAAGGACACAGAAACAAAAAAAATTGAATAGTGATTCACCCAAGGACCATGTTTTTTCCCTACTTCAATGACCATTGTAACTTGTATGCCTCTTTGAATAGATTGTAGAATTTTGGTGCCTTTCAGATTGCCAATCATGATTGCAACAATGTCTCCTGCACCTGTAAAAGAAAAGGAATTCAGTTTTAGTTTGGTAAAGCTAAAGTATAAAATTTTTCCTAGTATAAAAATCCAATTGCTAAAATGATTTTAAAGGACACTCAATGAGACAAAGGAAGGACACTCCTTCATTCAATTAACATTTATTGGGCACATGTGTATATGTAAGTTACAGGGAATATAAACATACTGAGACTTGGTTACTGACCTTAAGAACTCATAGTTTGGTAAGCAAGCCATGATATTAATACATAATAAATACCTCCCCCATTCTCAGGTTTGCTACCTATAATTCAAAAGTATTGGGCTTGGGGCCCAATTTGCCTCTTACATGAAGGTTTTCTTTTTTTTTTTTTTTCCATTTATTTTTATTATTTGGGAAGGTTTTCTTAAAGTAGTCACCTGGATAGTAGGGAATTCTCCTAGAGAATCTGAGATTTGGGAAAAACGAAAAATTTAACTATGTATTTCTGAATTTATAAAGTGATAGACTATCTCATGAGCCTGCTACTAAAATGTATAAGGAAGGGACTTCCCTTGAGGTCTGGTGGTTAAGACTCCACACGTCCACTTCTGGGGGCATGGGTTTGATTCCTGGTTGGGAAACTAAGATTCCACATCCCACATGCAACATAGTCAAAAAAAGTAAAGAAAAATAAAATGTATAAGGATATATATATCAGGATTAGTAATTTTTGATAATGATTACAGCCCAAATGGACAACCTATATATATAAATATATATATATGTTTATATTTATATATATATATACACACTATATATGTGTGTGTGTATATATATATGTCCGTGTGCCATTTTTCTATACCCTCAAAAGCAATATAAAATTTGTCCAAGGTGCCCTAAGGTTTTGCATGGACTTTGGCCACCTCATGGGAAGAGTTGACTCATTGAAAAGACCCTGATGCTGGAAGGGATTGGGGGCAGGAGGAGAAGGGGACAACAGAGGATGAGATGGCTGGATGGCATCACCGACTCGATGGACATGAGTTTGAGTAAACTCCGGGAGTTGGTGATGGACAGGGAGACCTGGCGTGCTGCGATTCATGGGGTCACAGAGTCGGACACGACTGAGCGACTGAACTGCACTGAATCAGGTTAGCAATGAATGTAACATGTACAATTGATAGAAATGTGTTTCCATTCAACCCCAACTAAAGTCAAGTCTGAAATGAGACTAAACTTTGTACTTAGTCTAATGGTCTAGAAGTCTTAATCTAAAGGCTAAATCTCTGTAACATCTCCCGCTTTACCAACTTTATAAATGTTGTGATAAAAATAAAGGACAGACATTATCTTTCCCAATCTTTTCCAATGGTGTGAGAATGTTACTCTTACCAGTCCAATGCTTATCATGGTTTATATTCCTTCTAGTTTAAATGATCTGAGATCAGTAATGTTTAGGAAAAGTTCAGAGTTCTTTGCTACTCACACTTTCAATGATCAAATCAAGAGTACAAACCTCAAATGGCAATGTCTATAGCAGAATTATTACCTAAGTAATCTCCTAAATTTATAGTCCCCAATGGCCAAAGTCTACAAAAGATCAAGATTCTCCCCTCACTTGAAGTTACTAACTCATAAAATATATTCACAGGGTATTAGAGATCCTTGAAGTTCCAAAAGACATTATTTTATCACAGGATAGCCATTCAGTTAAACCTTTTTATATTACTGCTGACTCATTTGCCATTACTCAGTTTGGTAACACTGAAGACTCACTTTCTCCTCATTTAACATGAGTAAAATTTCAAAAGCAGCAGAAAGTGAAGGAGGCTAAAATGTCTTCTGTTGTAACTCTCTCCTCTATCAGTATATAATGCAAATGGTCCTAAATAACTGGCTATTTTGCAAGAGAGAGGCTGATTTTTCTCTTTATTTGGGAGCTTTAAGTTTCTAGCCTTGGCACTAAAAGCACAGAAAGTGAAAGTGAAGCCGCTCAGTCATGTCCGACTCTTTGCGATCCCATGGACTGTAACCCACCAGGCTCCTCCGTCCATGGGATTTCCCAGGCAAGAATACTGGAGTAGGTTGCCACTTCCTTCTCCAGGGGATCTTCCCAACCCAGGGATCAAACCTGGGCAGAGGTTACTCTGAGTCAGGGCTCAGGGGTTAAAGCGTCTGCCTGCAATGTGGGAAATTATTTCAATTTTATTTTGTAATTATTTGGCTTTTCTCTACAAGCTATCTGTCAGGAAAGCTTATGGTTATAAAGTTTTGATTAACTATAGCATTCACCTCTGATACTGTAAAATGTATAATATTTGTATAGATCATTCTAAAAATGAGGTTTAGGAATATATGATATTTCTAAAGACTTCTTTTTAAATCACAGATGCGTATATAAATGTTTTTTACTAATAGAAGTACATTTTCATTCTTTTAGAAGATATGAGGTGGGTGGCAGGGGTGGATGCTCAGGAAGGATGACTGGCCTTCGTGGTCAAATGGAGATTAAAAAACGAGGAGAGTCAAGAAATGTACACTGTCTACACATAAGGAACAATGCTGTGCTTCAATCACCCCAATTCATATTCATATATGCTATATGTAATACAACTATCTATTGAATTAGCTTTCTAATCATATAAAAGTCCTATTTCTAAGCATTATTATACATCTCCTAGTCTTTACACCCTTGCGACTATTTAAAAACTGCTCCCCCTCCACTGTTCCTGGTTACAGTTAATGGCATCACAACCCACTGGTCACCAGGTTTAGTGACATCAGAATCACATTTGAATATCCCCTGCTAACCTAGTCAGTCTCATGTATTGGGTTGGCTAAAGAGTTCGCTTGGGTTTTTCTGTAACATCATATGGCAAAAACCAAATTAACATTTTGGCCAGCCCAATAGAATATGGGCTTCCTGGGTGACTCAGCGGTAAAGAATTTGCCTGCAATGCAGGAGATGAGGCAAGAGCCACAGGTTCGACCCCTGGGTCAGGAAGATCCCCTGGAGAAGGAAATAGCAACTGACTCCAGTATTCTTGCCTGGGAAATCCCATAGACACAGGAGCCTGGCAGCCTACAGTCCACAGGGTCCCAAAGAGTCAGACACGACTTAGCGACTGAGCATGCACGCATGCAATAGATAAAACTTCCTTAGCATCTCTCATTTTCAGAACCTCCATTCCGTTCCTGTTGCCTATATAATAGGCCCTCATAATTTCTTTGACTGAACTACTTCAGTAACCTAACTGGTCACTCTTAACTCCAAATTTCCCCCTTCCCTTAAAGTTTCATCAGTGTTTACCATCCTGGTTGATTTTTGCCATTATGTAGTTGGATCATGACTCTTCCCTGCTCAAAATCTTTACTGGCTCCTTATTACTCATTAAATTTCTGACTTCTTGGCCTAGTACTTAAAGCCTTATATGATTTGGTCCCAAACCAACTTTTCCAGTTTGATGTATCTCCACTACAACCATATCTCATGAACACTTGGATCGATCCAGTCACACAGGATTGGCTAGTATCTTTCACTTTTCATAACTTTCCTTTTTTTCATTCTGTTCTCTCAGCCTAAAATTCCTACATCTGCTGACACTCCTCATCCCTTTTCTGCCTATGTATTACTTAACTCCCAGTTCAAATGTTGCCTTCTATGCTATTTTCCCCCCAAGTTCCAAGTGAGAATGTAAGTATTTCCTCTTTGTTCCCCTGTCACTTGGGTTTTAACTTCTAGCTAGTAGTTTATTTTCTTTTGCATTTCAATTGGCATGCCATACTCCCTCTGTCTTTTAGTTAACTATAGCAACACTCTCCTTTATCTAGTATTGTCAGGGAATTAGGTACTCCATATAAGCAAAATTCCCAAGTTTAATAAAAAAGTTTCATGCACATATTTAATTTCAACAATTTTGAATGGACATTTAAAAAAGCCATCCATACTGCCCTACTTTCCTAACTAGGATATACTGATTATGATTTACTATTGATAGTGGATCATCTTTGTAAACCATTATTTAATATAGTAACTAGGTTATTTGTCCCAAAACTGTTATGATTTTCCAGCAAAGTCACAGATTTGGGGAGCTAGAATCAACCTTAGAGATCATCCAGTCTGACTCATTTATGAGCTCTCACTTTGGGTAGTTTTCTTTGGGGGAGAGAGCTTGTCAGTTGTTGCTTCTTTTCACTCTTTCTAATTTTATACCTCTAATCTACTGTCAGCTCTGAAAAGTCAATCAAGCTTGGATCAAAGCAAAGAGTAAAACAGGCTTCCAGAGAGAACTTGAGAGGTTCGGGGCAAGTACCCTCTGATATTTAGATTGGTTGTTCAGTGATATTTTTACTTCCTGAATCCTGGCTACTTTCTGGATAATTAAAGTTGCCAGATAAGATCTATAAACGAGAACTTATTCTAAGTGTTTTACCTGTATTAACATATTTAATCCTTATATCAACCCTACAAGATAGGCATTGCCATTTTCCTATTAGAGATAAGACTGACTAACTTGCCTAGAATAACACAAGCTAATACATGCAGAATTGGTATCTGAAACCAGGTAGTTTGGCTTCAGTGCCTCTGCTCTTCACCATCATTCTACATCAGTTCTCTATGTTCAGTGAAACCTAAAGCTATTATTTGACAGTAAAAAATGAAAAGTAAATAGGTACATTGGAGGAGGGAGTGGGAAGATTTAACGACTGGCTCTTGAGGGAGATGGAAGAAGCCTTGATTTGTAGTGTGTGCCAATTTCCATGTCATAAATACTACTCCCTTGGCCATATAAGTGGCTTCCCTGGTGGCTCCTGTGGTAAGGAATCTGCTGGCTAAGCAGAAGACATGGATTCAATCCCTGGGTCGAGAAGATCCCCTAGAGAAGGAAATGGCAAACTACTCCAGTATTCTTGCCTGGGAAATCCCATGGACAGAGGAACCTGATGGGCTATGGACCATGGGGTCACAAAAGAATCAGACATGAGTTATTGACTAAACAACAAATGACAACAATGGCCATAAAAATGTGGAGCTAG